GCTCTAACCAACTGAGCTAATGGGCCAGCTGTACATCGTTTTTATCATTTTGTTGTTACTCTGTTTTTTAAAAAGAAATAAAAATTAATTTATAAGCAAAATAATAAAAATTGCAAGTTAAATATATCTACCAGTAATATAGGAAATATTAAAATAAATATGTGTATTTAAGAAATAAGCTTTGAAATAATGTTTTATTCTCGCAGTCGTTTAAAATAAATTTATAAATAAATACACAAAATAGAATGCACTATTTGATATATATATTGTATTTAAACTATATGTATTTAATATATGGAGCAATTAATTATTGATGCTTTTCTGCCCCAAAATCCGACGTGCACAATACATATATGTATATGCATAATATACTTTTTGTAATATATTTTGATTGCTGACTATTTTTAAATTGTGACATATTTACTTCTAAATCTGTCATGCACATAAATATTATATATAGTGAAATTTTTTCCTTCAATCTATCTTGTACTTATTAAAAACATACAATATGGACAATCTTTATAAATTATTACATTAAGATGATATCATTGGAGATGAAATTTGAAAGCTTAATTTTTTTGAAAGTCGGTTCATAATCGTAATCTTCCTCTGATTCTGTCGAACTGATATTGATAACTTCACTGTGTTTATATTCGACAGGTAACTCTAATACTTCATCGTCTTCGCAAGAACATACATTTATATCTGATTCTATATCGCTCTTCTGAATCCTTGAACGAGCTATATCAACATTCAAATAATCATCAATATCATTGACATCATCAGAGCCGTTATCAATGTAATGATGGAAATCTGATAAACATAATGACGTCTCACTGCTCGATAGATTAAGGCTACAGTTTGAGGAAACACTGTTTTCATTGATGTTCATTATCTCCTTGGATATTTCTAATCCTGAAATTTTATATGCAGCAATATATGCACATAATTACTGTCTTTTTTTTAATCACAATGTCTTATCATTTATCATAAACAAATCTGTACTAGCTACAATATTTTAGAGATTATTGAAGTATTTGTAGTATCCACACTTGTTAAATCTAATGAATTACAGTCTGATATTTGGATGTTTAATCTTCCAAATGAAGCAACAAGTTGAGAACGGAATTTTATATATGATTCCACTTTATAAAAGCATATTTTACACAAAATTGCATTATCTATCTCTGATATCTAAAAAAGAACAATATAATATATACATATTAAATTGTCATATAAACATATATGTAATAAACTAAATATAAATTATTATAGGTATGATATTCACTGTATAACCAGTAATTAATTCGATAGCATCCCTCAGTGTCATATACATATAATCCACCAGATTTTTCATGCTTGTCTTTTTCTTGTGAATTGAGCAACAATTTTTTATCAAATACATTTCTGTGATCATCAGACAACTGCTTACAGGAGATACAATAGATATCAGACTATAACAAAAACCAATTAAATATGTGTACCTGTATGATTAATTTGTATTTTCTAAATTTTCTTTAGGCATTATATGCCATTTATTAAAAAAACAATTATTATTTATTCCACGTGAATGATCCTCACAACAGATTAAAATTAAAAATTTATATTCACCATTTTTCCAAAGGTTATATATCGAATTGATGGGCTAAGCGCGTTATGCAGATCCTCAAAGTTACAACGTAAATATCGACAGGCTATCAATAAGACAGAAGAATATGTATCAATAACTTCCTCTTGAAATGTCTATTTTAAATGAAATGTCAATCAAGAGAGAAAGAGAGATGAGATGCATCGATATACTGGCAGCTGAAAAAAATACTGTACAATTACAATCACTGATGAAAAGATCGCACGAGAAAAGGCACGGTATAGAAGTGCGAAGTGCGAATACTCGAGTCTCTCGTGAATGATTACGAATTACGAATTACGAGTTACGAGCAGAACAGAGCAAAGTGATGGACATTAAAGAGCATCGAACGACGAATGTATGATCATTGTGGAGTGTTGCTGATCGAGCCAACCTAACCTGACACGATCAGCAGGCATAGACAGACAGCAACAGACAGTGACAGACGCAGACGTGAAGCGAAGTGAAGTCGAGCTGGTCGAGCATCGCAAATGACTCGATCGTAGCGTCGACGCGAATTATGGCGAGCCGTAAAAGGACCGACGATCCAGATCGTCGGTCGTCGTTGCCTCAACGCCACTTGTGGTCCTCGTCGTCTGACGAGGAGGAGGAGAAGACGATCTCCTCCTGGACGCCTTGCATAGCGGCGTGTAAGAACTCCCCATCACCGTCGGGGAATGAGATGGGGAGTTTTCTGCCGTTTTTCTCGTCGTCCGATGAGGAGAAAATTACCTCCGCTCGTTGCCAGGATACCCAATCAATCGACTCCGTCGAGCAGTCGACAGGTTAGAATTCACTATCTCATCGTATACTATTTATTATATCATGCGGACGCTTTGAGTTGGGGGGGGGTTTGTTTTTTCCTTTTTTTCGTCTGACTGTGGAAGCTAAAAATGATTTTTCGCAGGTCAAGACGCGTCGTCGCGTCGCGACAATAACCCCTTTAGTTTTAAGGCCTTCTTAAAGAATGGCATGCAGCAAACCAACTATCACAACACTGGAGCAAGGCCAAAGGTCTACTCATCCTCTACATCGAGTCCCGGTAATGTCCTTGACAAAGATAATGTTGGCAGCAGCGTTTATTCCGGTCGAAATCCAACGGAACTGCCAGACTTTGTACAGGATCACCTGATCATTGAACAGTGTTACCTGAACTGTGAGAATAGTCAACCAATACTACCTGATGTGGATAATCTGCCGGATTTTGCATTAAACAGTATGGAACAAAGGCAGTCTCGATTAAGGAACGAGACCAAAAAGAACAACTCTGATGACATCTTGTGCGAAGATCTACGATCGTTTGATCTCACTGATACATTGCACAAAGGCTTACCAAACAGAGATCATTTTGCATCGAGTAAAAGGCATCACTTGGACCTACCTATGTTCGAGGATAGACTCAACGAAACTGCACCTATCGTTCCTCGTCCTGAACACAGAGGTATCTTGCCGGCATGTTTCAAATTATACAATTATGTTCCTGCTAAGTTTGTAAAGATCAGAGGCATTTTCTTTACAGGATTTCCATTCGATTTGCCAGTACCCTTTCCCGACTCCAATCCTAGTATAAATACAACCGCACGAGGTGATCTTCCTTCGGGAGGTGAAGCAAATGTTCACAAATCTCTACCAGATTTCTTAAGCGATGGTCCTATACATAATAGATCTTCAGATTCGGAACCTACAGCGAGCATGGCAGAATCCACAGAAAAAAGGGTAAGATCGCTATGTAATGCAGCAATCCAACAAATAAGATATAGAGGTAGTAGAGAGAATCCAAGATTATATATTATTACAGCTTTTGTTCGAGAATGAAAGGTTACGTCAGCAATTAGAGGCATCTCGAAGGCAACTTAGTGAAAAAATAGAAAGGTAATTATACCTTGCTAGAATAAATTTCAGTTTACATCGATCCGTTAATTGCAGAATTCGTTCATTGGAGGCAGAATTGTTATCTAAAAAGGAAGTCGAACACGAAGAAACTGTGCACTTGGAAAAAGCGATGGAGCAAGTTGAAGATAATTTAAAACGAAGTACAGTAAGTACAAAGATAAGGATCTGCATTTCAAGTTGCAAATTGGAATTCTTACATATTGATTACATTATGTGCCGTTGGGAAACGATGACAGCATTCTATTTGTATTTCATAGAAGCGAGCAGTTAATGCTGAAAGTACTGTCACATCATTGAAAAAAGAGATTAAGGTTTTAACGGTTAGTATTGTTTATGCTTGACCGACTATAATAGAACAGAATATTACTTATATAACACGTGCTGATGTATCGGTTTGTAAATCTGTTAATTTAGACAGAGATATCTCTACTACGACTGGAGAACAGTGAACTTCGAGCTGGTATTTCGGCTGTATCTGGACAAAGTGAATCGAATGCTGGTGCTGTTAACATAAATCGTACGATTAGAAGGCTTGCGCGTGATTTATTCGCGGCTGCATCGTCGGCTGAAGTATCCCTCAGGTATTCTTAATTATTTGACTACTATCAATTACAAAATATGTTTAAAACATTGGCTCTGTTCTTTTTAGCTGAACTTTTGCACCAGTTCATCTTTCTTCCTCTTCTTTCCTCCTGGAAAGAAAAAGAAGAAAGATGAACTGGTGCAAAAGTTCAGCTAAAAGGAACAGTTCTATTTTATAATTAATTTGGAATACTGTCTACTTTAATAAAGAGATGCGTAATTTTTTCCGAATCTAAACGAGATTTCGTATATTTTTTTGCAGACAATTAATGTCCGGTGTGGATAATCTGAGAGTGCTCGCATCAACCCTCGAAAATGTGGACAGGATAGAAGACTGGACCAAAGACTTTTTACCTGATTCCGACGAGGATAATGCCGTCGGTCCCGCAGTATAATAGAATTTTTTCTCTATACACGCGCACACACATACACACACACACACACACATTATATATATTCGTATTTTCACACTATTCCCCTTTTTATCACTTCATCATATAGCCCATCATTCCCCAATTTCACTGCGCATCCATTGATGATAAATGATCCATACGTTGATTAATTCAACGCGTTAATGCATTGCTATGCAATGTATTGATGCTTTGAACGCAATGAGAATTCAATCGTTTCTTGTTATCTACATTCGTTGCAGAATTTTTAATTCCCATCCCTCCTGCTTCCGCCCAGACTAACATCCTGACGTAAGATCGTTTTGATCTGTGAACGTATAAATATATATTATTTATAAAATATTCGTGATATTTTTATATTTGTGACAATTTGTAAAATTTATTTAATCGAATTTATGACGATGCAAAGAAGCAGATACATTTCCGACGATATCATGACTTTCTTTGATTGAAGAAACATATTTTCTTAGTTTTGTATATTGTATGTATGAACAAAAAATGCAAATTTAAAAAATAATCGGAATCTCACGTGATATTATCGCAAAGCTGATAGACATTAAAAATATTCGCCTGTTTTCATCACACAGCATAGCACGTGATGTATAAAGCTAGAATATATTTTTTATATATACAAGAGATATCGAGACTCTCTCTTACCGCGTATACGATATGTATACATGAGGCTTTAAATAGCATACATAACAATTATACATTTAGTCCGGCGATTCCAGTCCATAAATTTACTGATAAGTTCAGATCACAATGCTTGTATATAATATCGTATATATTTATTTTCGATCGTATATAGATACATACATGCGAAGTACACTCGAATGTGTATGATACATGCGTAATACTTTGGTATTGAAAGAAATCAGATATATATATATATATATACATTTCTATACACACACACACACACACACACACACACGTACATACATATGGTCATACATATACAAATATGCAACTACAGATGGATAACATTTATAATGCTCGATTTGTCAACATTTTTTATTTGGCACGCTTGGGATAAAATAAATTTCAAATAAAAAAGTTGGGAGATGAAGTATAGAAGTTAGAAAATTTCAAAGATTGGATGCTTATCCTTTGACGACAAATCGTGTTACGAATTTGAAATATTAATACTTTTTTAACATATTGTAGCACGAAACGATAAAAGATAAATATAAAAATGAATATTTCAACAAATGCAATAAAAATATGAAGAACTAAGTAACTTATTGAAGTTGCAGTGAAAAAAGAATATATCTTATTCAAGTCCCTCGAAAATACTAAGTAGATCGGTCTGTGTTTCGGTGTGACTCGTTTGTGTATTTAACCAAGATCTACAGGCTCCAGTGGAAATGTTGCAATCAGTTCCGCAAATCAGGGATTTTGTTTGAGTCTCGGTAGAAACTGTAGTGTCGTCGTGCGACCAAGCAGTCTGAGTCTGTATATTGGATAATCCTAATTCGGAAGACAGCATTTTATCGCATGTTTGAGTGTACGTGTTGCTGTATAGCAGTTGCTCCATGTTGTCTAGATTATCTGTAGTTTGCGTTTCAATGTTTGAACTTAAAGCAAACGATCTCGACCCGAAAGATTCGGAATAAAAATACGAAGGAGAAAAAGCTTGTTCGGTTTGCGTTTCTATACTGCTAAATCTGTCTTCGAATGTTTTAGTGGTTAGCATAAGATCTGCCTGAGACATTCCATCGGTCGAAGCGAAAGAATACCCTTCGACTGCTGACGTGTCTTCGACATAAGGCAAAGTCATTAAAGCCACTGTGCTCTTTGGTACGCATTGTATTAAAGGATTATGACTGTGATTGTAGAATGTATCGAATTCCGTCTGAGTCACGCTATCATTAAATGCCTCAAATATATCTTTTTCTGGTATCGTTTGCGTACCTGAAGTATTCTTCTCCTCCCAGAAATCTTGCAAGCCCACGTCGTGACGAAGCGGCAGCGGACTAGCCGGAAATAAATTGGTCGACGCGAAATTGTTGCCGAGATTAAGATCCTCTTTCAGCAACGTCTGTTCTGATTGTTTCGATAATGCGCGACACTTTCCACCGCGTTTGTGTATCTTGGACAATTCTCTGTTCGCTTGTGGCGTTTGTGTTTCTATCGATTTCCCGGAGGTTTTCTCCTTAGAAAAATGATTAGTTTGTGTTTGCTGAGATATTCGACGTTTCGTATTGTGTAGATTGTTATTGTTGAATTTTAATGGACTCGGTTTCTTGCTTCTTTTATAATCGTCTGTCTGTACTCCAACATCGGATGTAGTTTTTATCGTATTAATATTTTCGCTATTGTTTCCAGATTTATCTGGATTGGGTAATATTGAGACAGGTTTATTTATAATTTTCCTTGGTAAGATAATTTGCGTTGTCTTGGAGTTGGTATGTCTGCAAAGATATCATGAATACATCAGTAAATTTTCTATTCAATTTTAGTTATGACAATCATGTCGTTATTAAAAATGCGTGAAAAATGTGATGAATAAATATACCGTAAATTTTTATAATTTTCCGTTATAGTGTGCAGAGATCGCTTTGCGTGCGTAAGCAACGCTTCATACGTGACGTAAGTCTTTGAGCAAGAACATGTGAACTCTATGCCACAGATCCTTGTATGTCCGTTTTTAGCGGATTCAGTGGAAAAACTCTTGCCGCAGCGATCGCACACATAATTTTTCTCTGCGTGTACCTTCAAATAATGCTGAAAGAATATAGCATAGTGTTAATTAATATATTCTTAAAATTGATCTCTCCAACTTTTTGTCAGTATTATAAGCTCATTATCATATGAAATATCGAATCGAAATATACATACCTGCTTCAGATACTTCATGGTGCTAAAGTATCTCTGAGAATTAACAGCGTAGACGCACGACTGTACTGGGCAGTGATAGCGTGCGTTTTCCTTTGCAATTTTATCTAACTTTCTGTGCTGGTGCACCTTGAGATCATGTAGCCGGTAGCGCGGCTCATTCCTGAAGACGAGCCCGCATTGCTCGCATTTGATATTGTTATTTATTATGCTCAGCTCTTCCGGCGATGGACAGATCATCTTCACGAATGGCGATGCGCTGCTTTCAGCCGGTCTATCAGGTCTCCTCGGCATTGCAGGTTATCTTACGGCATGATTTCACACAAACTCTCACCGGTATATTTGTCGACTCAGCAATATATATAAAAAAAATACTTGTGTAAAAAATACTATGTTGTCACTTTTACACCTTTTTTTCCCATTTCATTTAGCATGGTGTCTCTTTGATTTACAGTATCTACAGCATAATTAAAGACATGTATAATGTATTAAAAATGTATTTAATCTTTTCTAAAATGCAATAAGTACTCCAAAATACTTGGTGTTTTTGTTTTATATGTACAGTCTCAGGCATATTCATAGTTTGAAAAGCTTTTTCTTATATGTCTCTCGTCAAACTGAAGATATTATTGATACAATTACACATCCAGATATCCCAGATCCGTGTGTGTATATATATATATATATATATATAGTGTTGGAGTTATCCAGGTTTATCTTAGCTGTTCGAAACCATCTTGAAATCAATAAGAAATTTGGAATTAGAATAGTGACACGCGATTAGGTATTGCTTTCGAGTACCCGCACGCATCTCTGCGCATCCCTCAGCCTGTCAGCGCGGCGCTACTTGTCGCAAGCCCCAGGAACGAATTCTCCTTTACGTCCGGCTCGGTACGTTTCGCTCATCGGGGACACCGGGCCGGTTGGGTCGATCGACCTTCCGCCTTCCGAACGGCGCGAATAGCGGCGGCCCGCGGCGGTGGCAAGTGCTCGAGAGACGTGTGCGACGAAAGTGGACCGCGGTCGAATTCGCGAGCGCACACAACATACCGCATACTGACTCAGTGCTGCTTGGTGCTGCTTGGTGCTGCTCGGAGTGCTCGGTGCTGCTCAGTGAGTTCCACCACTCGTACGGAGGACGTGCGTCAACGTGCGTGCGTGCATCGAATTGTATGTTTAATAATTTTCTTTTTGAAACTGCACAATAGATCTGTGTCGGGACCGATTCCCTCACAACTCTCGTCTGTCGATGAACACGAGAACTGGCGATCCACGAGCTGTCACACGATAAAGTTAACGTCGACAGTCGCGTTTCCGGTAATTTTAGTAGATCACCGTGTATACGACGTGCACCACGTACGTTGCGCGGTCGTATTATTGATTTTTACCTGAGAAGAGAAACGCGTAATCGCACTCGTACCTCCTACCTATATGTACGCATGTAGCAGTCCAAGTTCTGTAATCGACTTCTATCAACGCCTCGGGAACTTGTAGAATTATCCGCGACTACCCGGTATTCTAATATCTAATGTATATGTAATAGAATTGATTGCTCCGATGTTTTTAATTGCGCTTTTCCGTAACGTTCCTCTTTCTTTTCTTCTGCTCGGTGAAACTCTAGTATTTATTATGAGGGTTGAATTTCACAGAGAATACTAATTCTGTCAATATCAATCACAGTTGTCTCTGTCACTGTTTGTATTGGAGTCGAGACTGCGACCTAGAAAAAAAAATGAAATTGTTTAAAATGTCAAAAATTAATCAGCCTAAAGATTATCATAATCCAATTGCCATATGAGAAATTTATTTCCATTGCTAATTAACAATTTGTCAGACCGTCAAAATATCGAAAACTTTCCCTGCCATTTCTCTATGCAAGCACTAATCAATTTTTGTGGAACAGCTTTTTATTTTGATAATCTTTGATAAAAAAAAAAACTTGCCACTGCAAAATAAATATGAAAATAAAATTTGAAAATTTCGATAAATTTTTTTCATCTTCTCATCGGAACATTTCAAATGATTTTAATACGTACAACAAAACTAATTTATTTTATTTTATAAAATTGCTTATGTTGTCTTAAGATTTTTGCATCATATAATGACGCAAAATGTTATACAAAGCTCTAATAAAGTAATCAAACTAATATATTCATTGTGCCAATCATCTATACGACCGTCGTCGTGGACATTGCATTGTTTTTTTTAGAGTTGCACCAATAGAGCCATCATGAACCTAACGTTATCAAAGCTACTCTATCCATAGTTGTTAAGACTAAGAAAGCGTTATCACAATTAAATATATAATATATTTTAATTAGATTCGTTCTGTTTTTTCAGATAAAAGATTTAGTTAATAATAAATTTTATTGCATTAGCACATTAATTAAAATAACATAGAAATATAAAAATATAACATGAATCTGTAATTAACTTATATATATTACAAATTCATAACTTTGTTATTATTTATTTATAATAAATAATATGTGAAGTATTCTAATCAATT